TGAGTTCAGTAGCGTGAACCAGGACCCAGATCTTAAGAGGAACTCCACATCCCCAAACTTCTCCATGAAGGAAGTGCTTGGGAATTTGGGCTCAAGAGCCAGGCTGCCAGGTGTTCGTGCAGTCTTTCTGTTTACCAGATGTGTCTCCGGGTGAGCAGATAGCTATTGTCTCAGTTCTGAGTTTCCCCAAGTACAGGGAAATCCTCACATGATTGTTAGGAAGATTAGATACATCAGTTCTTGTAAACCCAGAAGAGTGCCCAGCACTTGCTAAGCCTACGCTGGACCTTGATGGTAGGATAACAGGGTCACAGACCTTCAGCACCCCCCCACACACACTATCATTAGAGGCAGAGGAAGCTGGTCTGTTTCCTTTCACTCAGAATCTTTTGTTAACTAGCACAAATAAAGAGGAAACTGGAGGGGAGGGTAGAGATGACAGCACATGAACACAAGTGACAAGCCACGTGTAAGTTCTGTCTGGGGGAGGATCGGCACCAGGGCAAGTATAAGAGGAAAAAACCTCCAGACCTTATTCTGGGGACCTAGCTCACCCCACCCACATACACTGTCAGAAGACAGAGGCACTGCAAACATCACGACATGATGGCCTTCCTGGTGTTTCTTTAGCATTAAACTACAGCATAAACATTTGCTTCTCTGGCTTGTGTTCACTGCTTTCCAAGGAATGTGCAACGGGGAAGGAGAGCACGCTTCATGGGTCTTAGTTCTTTCCTCTTGTAGCTTAAACATCTTGAGGCCCTGTGCCATGGCGTAGGTTGGCGGGTCTGTATGGGCTGCTCTGCACAGCCAACACTGCCTGCTCCTTTGGGGCTCCAAGAACACTGCAGTGGCCCCACTCACTCTCCAAGGTTGACAAGGACACAGGGCCACGTGCAGGGTAGCTGTTAGAGCATTTCAAAGTGAGACACTTCATCTTTACTCCCATACCTTATTTTAAAAGAGCCCAGATGGTATAAACCAGCCTGTTTAGTGAATATCTGTAAGTGACAGAATGGGCAGGGCTGAATTAAGTAGTGAGCAGCCCCTGCAGAGGACTGCCTGGCTTACAGTGATGGTGGGGACAAGTGCTGCAGCAGGCAGAGCTAGCAGAACGCAATGCAGCAGAGGAGCCTTCCTGCCGCCAGGTTACTACAGCTAGCATCTCTCAGTGTTTTACCTTCTTGCCTCTGTTCACTGGGAATTCTGTCCTCTTGTTCAGGCCCACAAATCCTCTCTCATGTTGTCTGTACGTGTGGGTCCCATCCAAGATGCCTGGCCTTGTTTCCCTGTTCTCTCAAGATCCTGTTCAGCCCACCTTTGGTGTTTTGTTTGGGGGACCAGAACCCCCCCTTGAACAGTCCCCACGCACCCTTGGGATCATGCTGGACTTAGACCATGTGCATCTCTCCTACCCACACAACCTGGGTGGGGGCTGCCCTGTGCTGTACCAACGCCCAGCTGAGGATGTTGTTCTAGAGTGGACAGGGTGGCAGACCAGGTGGGGTGTCTGCTCTTATTCCAGGATGGACATCTCTTCCTTGACACCTGAGAGATAAGATTTCTGTGGAAAGAGATTGGAAGGCCGGGGCCATTTTGTCCTGAGAGGGATGGTGGAGATAGTGCTGGCAGCAGTCAGCCTCTCTGCTGAGGACCCTCCTTACTGAAGGCCCTGACAGGTTGCTTCTGTTGGAAAAAGACCTGCTCTTATGCTCAACTCCAGGTGAATGTTCTGGAACAAAGTGCTTTGAAAATGACTCTTGGCGTGCGCTGCCGCCCCCCCCCCCTTTTTGTAGTAAAGGGCAGAGGCCTTAGTGACAGTTAACATCCAGTTAATTCTTGGAGCCAGACGCTCTGAGAAGGCTGCTGTTGTCATAGGTTTTCAATGTGGAGAGCTTGGACACACTGATTCCTATCACAAACACGGTGCCTCCCTAGGGTGTGATAAGAAAGCTGCATTATATAGATGGCTGGCTTTGATTTTTGTAGCCTTTTGCTTTTTATAGTTCTAACTGCAGAACAGCAAGAGTGAACCAGGCAACCTGGCTTTGGTGCATAAACAAAGTGTGTGCTCTCTTTGGAAAAGCAGGAGCTTGGTGCTAGCTGAAGGGGGGGAAATCAAATGACTGACTCCAGTTCCTCTGGCAGGGAGCAAGCAGGGAACTGTGGGGGCCTGAGCTTTGTTTCCCTGGAGGAAGATAGGACACATTCTTTTGTTCATGAAGTACTCATTACTGGGACTTTTGTGTTCTCTGACTAACTTGGTTTGAGGCTAATACCTTTTCCACATACGGGGGAAAAACAGAAACAAAAAAAAACTGCTCAGAAATTCAAGGGCCAGACTGATGGTCCAGATAAAGTCTCCATTTCAGATCCTGAGCAGGAGTGGCACCCCATCTTGGCTCCCTACCACCCCAGCTCTTAACTAGGCGCGGTCTTACCTGTAGGGAAGTGCTCAGAGCCACAGATCTTATCACACCCTGGTGGTTATTTTTACTTGTCACATTTGGTCTAATAGCAACAGTCACTTGCTTAGTTTGCTCTGGTTCTAATTAAAATGGGGAAACTCCTGGCCACACTGCCCTTGGCATGTACGGAAGGGCCCCAGGGTGGACCATCAGGGATTACACAGGACATCTGCCCCATCTCACTGTGTCCTTCTCTGGTTTGTTTGTGGAGACTCCTGGACCCACTCACAAGGGACTGAATTCTGCTCCTCTAAACAGCATTTCACTTTAGCACCTCAAGCTAGGAAAAAACTCAGTTTTACTCTCCAAACTGAGTACCCCTCTGCTCTTTGATTTCTGGATGGTATTTTGGGGCTCTTGGCCTATGAGGCCTTGTGGACAGCTACAGCCTAATGCTATGCAGTCAGGCAAGTGGGAAAGTGGACAACCTGCCTGAGCCTTCGGAGAGTGAGGGAGGAGCCAGCAAAGAGGGGAAATAACTGGGAAGCACCTTCTAAAGAAAGCAGTTTGCTCTGATTGTCACGTACATTTACATGGGGGACCCTGGGGGACAACCCCCCCCCCCAGGCATGGCCTTGATGTGTATGATTCAATGGGTGTGGGTTATTAAAGGCCCAGTGACAGTCACTATTTAAGGACTTTCAAGTGACAGTCTAGTGGCTGTGAAGGCAGCCTCCCCTAGGAGCACCTTCCTCTCCATGCCCCAGAGAGCAGTGTGTCTCTCTCCCTATCTATAAATCACAAGCATGTTTCCCCAGCCAAACTCTGAAAGCATGTCACTTATCCATTGTTAGATAAATATAATAGGTCTTGTACTCACTTTACATACAGCTAATGTAAGTGATACACTGATGTTACTCTTGGTTTTTTTTTGTTGTTTTTTGTTTTTGGTGCCAGGGATCGAACTCCGGTCCTTGTGCTTGTGCAGCAGGCGGCGAAACCACTGAGCTAAATCCCTGGCCCAAAACTGATGTTACTCTTTCCCTCTTCATCAACCTGGCTAAAGTTTTTATGAGTTAGAGGAACACCAAGTTAACTCTGCTCTTTCCATTCTGCCCCAAGTCTGTGTTCAGGGTCACACCCCGACACGTGTGTCTATGCCTGTGTGTTTTTTCTGTGTGTGTGTGGCACTAGGGAATGGGCTTACGCTGTGTGAACTGGCACAGTAAGCACTCAGCATATACAAGCTTTTTCTAAAAGCCAACTATCTTTGAAGGGCTTTTTCACTTAGGAAGATATCAGAAGTTCTGGTTTGCAGAAGGGTACATGACAGTAGTTCTTTAAGGAGCTACACAGGAGGTCATGACCCAATAATGGGACCCTGCATTCAGTACAATTATTCATAGTGCTCCTTTGCACTCATAGCAGTGTCCCGGTTAGGATTGCAGAGCATCTGGGCGCTATCATTCATGAGTAACCTAGGAACACGATCAGAACAGCTATATCCATACAAATTTGCAGAAGCTTTTAAAGTGTGCTTGTTGCCACTCTGTTACTGAATGCCTCTGCTAGATGGTCAAGATAAGGGGGGAAAAAAGGAGGTGTCAGCTGATTATTTAAAGTGAAATGGAGATCTCAAATAAGTGCCTCTCCACAGATAAGGAGATGAAAGGTGGCAAATGGTGCTCTCAACAGTAAAAATAAAACTATTCTCAGGTTAGCATGCACAGCACAGACTAGTTATATCAGCAGTCTCCAAATGTCTAATTTAGAGAAGTGATTTACTACTTTTACAATATTAACTTAATTCTAGGTATCTGGTTGCTAGTAATAGTGGCTGTTTTGGATCCTCTGAGGCTTTGGAGGCGGCTTTCAGCGCCCTATCAACTGTACAGGACAGCTGACACCAGACTGGCTATCTCCACGTATACACAGTTCCGACACCAAAAATCTTATTCCAGGGACGAAAACGATAATCCGAGTGCTCAGGAGGACTCGATAGGTTCCCGCCGATCATGTGAGGGGCCGGCGGCGGGGCCGAGCGCTTCTGAGGGCAGGAGACCTGGCTGCGGTCCGCAGGTCGGTGACCTCGCGCCCGTCCCCCAGCCGGGGCTCGACTCCGCCGACGGCCCTCCCCGCCAGTATGCGCTGTGGGGAACGGGCGCCAGCCAGCTGAGCGCAACTTTGCACTCTCTCCTCGACCACCGAAAACTAGAGTTTGCCCGACCGACCCGGCCCAGGCCTCAGGCCCCGGCCCCACTCACCGGCTCGCTGGGCGGCGGCCACTGCGGGCAGCGCGGGGCTCCAAGGAGGCGGCGGGGCTCACGGCGCGCACGCCGCCCCGGCCCTGTGTACACACGTGACCGGGTCGGGCCCGCCCCCGCCCCCGCCCATAGCCCCGCCTCCAGACCGCCGAACGCAGAGACCCCGGGCCCCGCCTCCCGGCCGTGGAACGCAGCCCGGGCTGCCGGGCCACGACTTGGGTCCGCGGCCCCCGCCTGGCTTCGCTGGTTGTCCGGCCTGTGCGGAGAGAGGAGGCGGGGGCGCCCCTCTTCGGGTAACTCGAGACCTGCCCCGTGGGAGAACGCGAACCTGAGGCCTGCCTGCAGATCTCAAACGTCCCTCGGTGTCTGCTTCGGCTTCTCTCTGGGAACGCAGCACCGGCTGCTGAGTCACCGAGCCCTAATCTGCGGGGCGCAGGCTGCCGCCCCAAAGAAGCCAGCTAGGGTTAGAACTGGGGGAGGCAATCGGGCACTCCCAGATGCACCTGCTGCGCTCCCTCCCTGAGCTCGCTCTCTTCACCCTCGCCAGCTACTTTCTGGCTTCGGGGCTTTCTTTGTAAACCTAATGGGTTACAGGAAAGCAGCTTAAATAGCCGGTGCCATTAGACTTAGACGCCTGATTGCGTGGAAAGTTGGAAGAACGTCACCTCCACAGCATGTTCTGGTTCAGTATCCAAGACTTGATTGTTTTTTAAAGTTGAAGCACGCGGATTGCAGAGCTTGGTGTGGATTTGCTGTGCAGCCAGGGGTTGAACACGGCCAGGCTGGCCCTCAGCTTCACCGTGATGCCACAGGCCGAGAGAACCAGGCTGAGGTCTGCTGAGGTCAGACACAGGCAGAGAGGCCTTCTCTGGCCAGATCGTCGATTGGTCCCTGGGCTCCCCAACAATGCCTCTCCTCTGCTGCCAGCATGCTGACCTGCCCCACAATCCCCTACCAGGTCTTTAAGGGAGGGCCACATACTGCCGGAAGGTACCAGGTCTTACCTCGCTTGCCAAAACCAGACACCATTAGCCATCACTGACTCCTGGCTGAGGCTCTTTTTGTGCCAAGTTCTGTTCTCCACCTTCAGCATTCTTAAAACTATCAGTTATAAGACACATCCTGATTTTATTTTACTTTATTACCACATATTTATATTTGCATATATGCATTTCACAGTCATCCTTGTGAATTGGTACACATACATAACACAGCTTGCTTTTTAATCCCCTTCTTTCTTTAATCCCCTTCTTTCCTCCAGTTTCCCGTCCCCCTTTTCTTTCTTGTTGATATTGTCAATCATAGTTTATGTTTATGGCATATAATGTCCACGTTCATTGAGGTTACTAGGACCTTGTACCTGAGACATCACTCTACCTATTTCCCCATCCCCTCACCCTTGGTCCTCTGGACTCCTTCCCATCTGAAAGAGATCCATTCCCTTGTCTCTTCTATCCTTCTTTATTTTTCTGAGAGATACCATCCAGTATTTAAGTTTGTGTTCTGATTTTAGAGATGTTAAAAATGAGAGAAAATATGTTGTAGCATCAGTGAAATATTCTTATCATCCTTACATGATATTTTTTTGAAAACACTTAAGCAAATTGCCCAAGGTCACATTCCAGGCAAGTGAGCCAGGGTTGAACCCAGGTGGTCTTTGGATTTCTAAATCTGGTTTGAGACTGTGGGTCCTCCTAGCCACCTGCCTTAAGAGTAAAGTCTTGTTGTGTCCATTGTATAAATGGCCTAAGACCTTGAGGCTCCTGGTCAGAGTCTGGGCCATGCTGCCTGACCCCAGAGTGCCAGGCTTCCAAGGTCTACTGTAGAGTGCCTGGTGGCTGGGTGGGACAGCTATTTGCAGGCAAGAGTACTCCAGGTAGCTCCACCACGCCCTCTGCTTTTGGTCACACAGGCAGGCAGACAGTCAGGAGAGCAGAAAGTCTATGATGTATTTGGGGGAACTTGAAAGTCAGCCTTCTCTCCAGCTGAGCCCATACAAGCATCTTTTCACTCTAGGCGCCCATAGCCACCTGTGCTGTGGTCATGAGACTGATCCCTGATAATCATGGTCTGTGTACTGCGGCCCTGTGCCATGCTGAGGTCACATAACCTAGAAACGTCGGAATTACCCTTCCCTTACCACATTCTTGGGACTTGGCAAGGCTTCCCAGTTGTTGTGGAGTGGCAGTCGATAAGATCAGCTGCATTCCACACCAACGGCGCTAGAGACTGCTTGCTGGGAGCCTGAGAGTGGTCAGCTGCCTGAGTCAGTTTGCATTTGGTCCTTCTCTGGGATGGGCAGGTGAGGAGGTTGGTACAGCCACCCTAGGTAAAGAGGTGGCTGATTTTCCTCATGAAGGTGGATTTTGTCTTAGTAATTGAGCATTCACAGGGTAAATTTGTCTCTACATGACATAAAGGTCAGGGAAGGCAGTATTTTTTAAATAATTTGTTAGGCCGTGGATTTAGTTCAGTGGTTCTGCTACCTGCCTCGAAAGCACAAGGTCCCGAGTTCGATCTCTGGTACCAAAAAAATAATTTGTTAGTTCTTACAACAGTCGTTTATATTTCTTGCTGGCCCACATGGCTGCATTAATATAATTTAATGCCACCCAGAGTCCAGCAAAGTGTAGTATTTAATAAGGAAACATGGAGGTCTGATGAGAGACCAGGTCCTCCTGCCTCAGAGAAGCCAGTGAGGGACAACTGTGAGGCACGCCGCTGTGATCCCCAAGGGGCATGATTCCTGGGTGGTTATCACGGGTCAGCCCTCTGTCATCGTGTGGGCCTCAGCCCTTTCCCTGCCACCTCTCTATCCCTCTTTCCAAATTCCATCCCACATGGCTCTGCATGAGGTCATGTCTGCCCTTGGTGGAAGCAGATCTTCACAGTGGTAACCCAGGAAGTGCTGGATGTACTCCAACCTTGTAGCCAAGCCTTCTGGCCTCACAAGGCTTCTGCCCTCCACCATGGCAATTTTGGCTATCGTGGCATGCAGGTCCTGGCAGTTGCCACTTGGCCCTGCACAGTACAGTGCTGTGACAGTCCCCACCCTGTCTTGCTCCAAGCTGTGCCCTTCTGTTGAGTATGATGTGGAATGTGAGGGACCAGTGCTTATCCTAAGCACCTTCCTTGTAGGAAGCCCACCAGGCCATGGGGAGATATCAAGGGCAGTAGGTGTTAGCGTAGGGCATGTGATGGGAGTCATCCAGGCCATTGGGGTCCAGTAGGACACACTAAGCCCTGATCCAAGGTTCCAGTGGCCCTCAGAGCTCTCTCCCCCATTCACCACTCCCACTGCCTTCTCTAGCCTGAGGTGGCAGGTGCTCCACATCCTCCTAGAGAACTGCCAGAACAAGTGGTAGCAGCTGGAAAGGGAGCAGGGGAGCTGGCTGTCTGGCTGGCAGGTGCTGAGCAGAGACTGTGTCTGTCTTTACACCTACCTGCCCAGAGCCTGGCCTCTCCAGAGAGGACTGCCATTCCCTAGCAGGCCAGGACCACCAGGGACCCTCGCTGATGACCGGGCTCAGGGAGGCAAAAGGGATTGAAGTTGCTGCTGCAGCACAGATGCTGTCTCCCCACCCAGGAAACTCAGCGGGAGCCCTGCTCTGACTCACACATACACACCCCCTAGGGCTGCATTCATTTGCCTGGGGCCTTCCACCTCTCTGGTGTTCCTCTACACAATGAGAAGCAGCATTGTAGCCAAGGGGCACACAGACCAGAAGGACAGCACTTACTGGACAGTCTGCATGCTAATGAGAAGCATTTGCAGTCTGTGCTTTGCACCCAGAGAAAGCTGGGGCCTTAAGAACCAGAGTCCAGGGCTGGGGATTTAGCTCAGTGGGTCCACCGCCTGCCCTGCAAGAGCAAGGACCCAAGTTCAATCCCCAGTACCAAAAAAAAAAAAAAAACCAGAGTTAGAGCTCAGAGCTCATGAAAACCGCTGCTTGGAAAACCCACTCCTGCCCATGGGGTCAGCCAGGGTGAGGATGTAGAGTGGCACTTGTATCTCTCTTTGTCCTTTTAAAAGTGCTAGAGAATTGTGCGTGATTTGTACCCCAGCTTGAAGCCCTGTTGACCAGGATTGTGTTCTCTGTGCACTAACTCTCTTAGCCCCTTGCCCTTAACTTTCCTAGAATGTCATTTAGTTTGAATCATACAGTCATTTCAGATTGGCTTCTTTCACTTACCAATAAGGATTTAAGATCTTCTATAGTTGGTGGTCGTGGTGGTGCACACCTGTAATCCCAGCACTTGGGAGGCTGAGACAGGAGGATCACCGAGACTTTGAGGTGAGCCTGGGCTAGAGAGTTCAAGGCCAGCCTGAACTACATAGCAAGACCCTGTCTCAAAAATAAATGAAAAAGGGGCCAGGGATTTAGCTCAGTGGTTCCGCCACCTGCCTCTCAAGCACAAGGTCCCAAGTTCGATCTCCAGTACCAAAAACAAAAAAATAAATAAATGAAAAAGATCTTCCATAGCTTTCTATAGCTTAATAGCTCACTTCCTCTTAGCACTGAATTAATAGTCCATTGGATGGATGAACCAGAGTTCGGTTACCTACTGAAGTGGTTGCTTCTGAGTTCAGATAATTCTGAACAAAGCTACTGTAAACATCCATGTGTAGGTTTTTTGTGTGGACAGATGTTTCCAGCACCTTTAAATAAATACAAGGAGCATGGAAGTTAGACTACACAGTAAGATATGTTTAGTTCTGATGCCAAACTGTCTTCCAGAGTGCACTATTCTGCATTCCCCCAGCAATGAGCAAGAGTTCCTATTGCTCCACATCCTGGCCAACATTTAGTGTTGTCAGTGTTAAACTTTTAGCCACTCTCATAGAAAGGTATGTCAGGCATCTTTTCATGTGCCATTCATCTGTCCTCCTTGGTTCAAGATTTGCTTTTTGGGCCGGGGATTTAGCTCAGTGGTTAGACGCCTGCCTCGAAAGTGGAAGGACCAGAGTTCGATCCCTGGTACCAAAAAAAAAAAAAGATTTGCTTTTTGCCCATGGATGCCCCACTGCTCCAGCACCATTTGCTGCAAAGACTCCTTCCTCTGTTGAATTACTTTCACAACCTTTGTCCAAAGTCAAATGCAGCTGGGCATGGTGGGACACGCCTGTAATCTCAGCTACTCACAAGGCTGAGGCAGAAGGATTGCAAATTCAAGGCCAGCCTAAGGCACTTATGAAAACTCTTCTCAAAATAAGAGACATCCCATAGCTCAGTGGTAGAGCACCCCTAACCTGTGTTCCATCCTCATATGGCAAAAGGCAAAATTAAGTCAGATTGCCACTGTGGGGCAAGTTCTGAGTTCCTTATTCTTTTCTATCTGTCTGTGTGTCTGTCTTGATCACCACACTGTCTTGAGCAGATCACCTGCTCAGTCTTGAACAGCATGGCTTCATAATAAGCCTTGCAATCAGGTAGACTGATTCCTTATGCTTATGCTTCTCTTTTTCAAAATTGTTTTAGCTATCCTAGTTCCTTGCTCTTCCATATAAATTTTATTTATTTATTTATTTATTACCGTACTGGGGATTGAACTCAGGGCTTTTGCACTGAGCTACATCCCCAGCCCTTTTATATTTTTTATTTTATTTATTTATTTTTGGTACCGAGGATCGAACTCTGGTCCTTGTGCTTGTGCAGCAGGTGGCGAAACCACTGAGCTAAATCCTTAGCCCTATATTATTTTGAGCCAGGGTCTCACTAAGTTGCCTAGACTAGACTCGAACTTTATAGATCCTCCTGCCTCAGCCTCCCAGAGTCCTGAGATTATAGGCGTGTCTACCATATGTCTGGCTCATTTAGATTTTTAAGTTTCTTTCATCAGTATTTTATAGTTTCCTGTATAGTGGTCCTGTCTGTGTGTTAGAGTTACAGTGAAGCCTTTCCTCTCATTGAACAGTAGCAAGTGGTGCTGTAGTCCAGTTTCCATGACTACTGTGTGGAACACAAGGATTCTTACAGCTCAGATGCAGTCTTACTTGGGAGATTCCTCAGGCTCTTTCTATCAACCATCCTCCACAGCAGGTGGACAAAGCCCTCCCCTTCCCTTGACCTGCCCCACTCTGGCCTTCTCCTCTTGCTGTGTGTGCTGGCTGAGATGCCCAGGGCCAGGACCCCTTGGTCTATTTCTGATCTGGGAGTGGG